ATTAGCTATCCGTTTCCCTTCGTTCTCATCACTACCCTTGTGATCGTAGGACAAACGAAGTGCCTTGCCGTTGCGGCACAGAATAATGCGGGCATCTCCCACATTAGCAGTGTAGAGGACACGCTGACGGAGGGATTTCTCCTGTAATTTGGGAAGTATAGACGCCGCACCGCCTGATACGGCGGCCTGAGTAGGCGTATCGCCCGCATCCGAATCGGCGTCGCCCTTGGAGGCAGCGGCAGCGGCAGGTGCAAGGGCCGCCGATCCCGTCGCGGAATGCAGACTGGGTACGCGGTCTTCCCATCTGAGGAGGGCAATGACCGCGGTACAACCACTGTTCTTCACAGGTAGCTTCTCCAGCTGCTGATCTACGCTGGTAAACGTTTGATCCAGGAGTTCCGGAACAGGTGTGTTGGGATTTTTCCGCATGACCTCTTCCAAGATCAGATGCAGCTTTTTCCCGCACCATTCCGCCGCAAAGGTGCCTGCATGTCCATCGAAGATGGCAAAATAACCGTTGTCGGTTTCCACGACGGTCGCGGGGGGTTCTTCAGAAGTGGGCGAGGGGGCAGTGGGACTCGGAAGGGCTTTGCCATTGTTCTCAGCCAGGGCTAAAGGTGCGGGGGTCCCCAAGAAATTGTAGAGGTAGGCATGGGTATCTTCCATAGTCCGGCGACATTTTCGATTCCGATCTTCTGTCACGCCAACTTTGAACGAAGAGCGAGAAGTGGGGAGTGATTCTCCAGCCGAATTGTTTAACGACCCTTGGGGAACACTCAGAGCTGGGTCCATGCTCCCAAGCCTATTCAACGCAGGCTGTTCCTGGATGGTGTAGTTGTTGAAGGAGTTCTCGCGCGGACTGCTCGACAGGCTGAGGGAGTTCTTAGCACTGGTGAAGAAGGATGCTGCCTTGGTGACGGTGCTACTCCGGCGCTTCTTTTCGCCACCAGAGTTGTTCTGGTCCTCGCTGGTCCGTCGGGTGAAGAAGCCGCCAGGAGGAGAGGACTTCTTCTGGCTGATGCTGGCTTCCTCGGTGTGGATGCTCAAGGGAGGCGTGTCAATGGCGCCGGAACGAGTGATGGAATCTGTCTTGTCTTTGGGTGGGCTCGAGGAGCCACTGAACATTCTGTTCAGCAACCCACCCTGGCTAGAAAAACTTCTCCGCTTATTCCCTGCCAGCTTGATGATCGTTGATGGGTAGGGGGGCTTAAAACCGGGTCAAAAGTTCGAGAGAGTGCGGAGGGGGGCGGCGGCGGCGGCGCGTGGGGAAGGGGGGGGGGAGCGCCAAAGAATGAAAGCCGCCGGGAGGACTGACGTAGGATGCGAATTGCGGCGGAGACGAGATGGATCTAGCTGGGTAGACAAGGCATGTCAGCGTCTCGATCCACTACAAGACCAAGTTTCCAGCTAAGCACGATGGTAGCGGGATCTGCTTGAAGATTCCGATGGCTTCCAGCCAGCAATGCGGGCGGGCAAGTGACATCGTGGTCAGGCAACGCCGGATGCATGCTGTGGAGCGGGCTATATACACCCTTCTTCCGGCGACAAGCGAACAGTGGCAGAAAAGTAATTCGAAACATAGGGAGAAATAATCCGGAATAAATTCATCCATGTCGGGAGTTCAGACAGAAGCTAAAGAAAGGCACGTTATAGCAAGCGTCCTAAGCTCTCACCTTCCGAACCAACCCCACTGCGCGCCGGAGGGGACAGGGTTACAGAGCGACCACGGGGAGCGAGGATGTAGAAGGAATCGAGGACACTCACGGAAATAGGGAGAGAAATTGGCGATAGGCTGGGTTGTATGTCGACAAGGGTGTGGAGAAGATCAAACAGAGAAAAAAAAAAGGGGAGGGATGCGCAACAGTCGGATGTTGCGATGATGGGGGGGAAGAGGGAAAGGGAAAAGAAGGAAGTTGGTATGGATCGGAGGTAATAACTAGTAGTAAGTAGTAAGTAGTGGTGGTGGTAAGTGAGGCGGGCTCGGGATGGGGTCCTTTATTATTAGCAATCGTTGGTTCCTCCGGGTGGGAAGCACGCTAGGAAAAAGGGTACTTGTTACTTGGTACTACTTGCCATGTCGTGCCCAGCAAATTAAGTGCACACCAGCACTACTCCCACTCACTAAGTAAGTACTGAGCACAAGTCCCACTACAACAGTTCCCAGCCGATCGGACACAGTCTGGTTACTATTTTCGGGAGGCGGTGAATCGAGGTCGTCATAACGTGACCCTGAAGGATGGTGCGTGGAGGATGACGCAGCGGCAAGGTCCAGATGAGAGATAAGTGAAAAAGCATTGCAAGCCTTGATATTATTGGTGATAATGCCAAAATGTTCACTTTCCCAATTAATCTATTCCCTGTACTAAATACCGTGATGTTGCCTGCGGTATTTTATGTTCGCAATATCCCCTAATAGCCCAGAAACCTCCACTACCGTATATTCGAACCACTCAATAAACCAAGCTCAACCAACCACTAGTAGTTTTGATCATCAACGCCTATTGTTATACACATAAAATAATACGATCCCCATTATATATGAGCTCCTAATCCCACGAACTAAAATCCCCAAACCCGCCTCCGCCCTTGAATTTCTTCCGCATTGGCTCGGGTTCGGGCTCATCATCTACAAATTCCACAATCTCATCCTCCTCCTGCCCAGCCCTCTCGGCCAGCGCGGCTTTCAAGTACTTGCCTACCCCGCCAGAGCCTTCGTCTTTCGCTCCGCTTCCTGCGCCACGGACTCTTTTGCCCGTCCAGGTCATCCGGTCGTCTTCGGCGCGACGCGCATTCTGCTCTTCTTCCTCGGGGTTAACAATCAGGCCCTTCGCCTTGGCCTCCTCGGTTTGTTTCTGCTTCAGGAACTCTTCAAACGGATCCACAAACACCGTCACATCGGTAATGCGGATGTCCGGAGTAGGTCTGTTAGTAGTCGGGTTTGTCGGGTGCACTTCAAGGTTGTTCAAGGTCGTGGAGGAGGGCGTGGGGTCATCAATGACATGACCGAAGATGGTGTGCTTGTTGTTGAGATGAGGCAAGGCACGATAAGCAATAAAGCTAGTCAAGGGGTAATTGTTAGTGCAGGCCATCCATTTCCATCGCGGGGACTTACAATTGACTGCTGTTCGTGTTCTTGCCCTTGTTGGCCATACTGAGGGTACCCCGGGAATCGTGCTTCAGTGGACCTTCGAACTCGTCGTTGAAGTACTTCCCCCAGATACTTTCACCACCCCTTCCGGTACCAGAGGGATCACCACCCTGAATCATGAACCCCTTGATGTTGCGATGGAAAGCGACATCTCTATAGTAGCCCTTCTTTGCCAGCTTGATAAAGTTCCACACGGCCTTCGGTGCGTATTCCGTATGTAATTCCAAATTTACATCCCCGACGTTGGTCGAGATACGAGCGTAGCCCTTTTGCTTCACTCGCCCTCTCTTCAGCATGTACTCCTCGTCGGACAAAAGCGCAAGCTCGGCAGAGGTGTGGGGCGTCATCCCCGTACTGGTGAGTGAGGCGGCGGCCAAACCAGTAGTGTGTTTGGCCGCATTATACGGCACAGCCTTGCCAGATTGAAACGACGCCGTCTTTTGAGATTGCGCCGCATTTCCCGCACTTCCAGATTTAGCCAAATCTTTCGAGGTGGCCGCAGAACCAACACGTTGCGATCTTTCCGCGCGTGCCTTGGCCACAGCTTCCTTGGCCTTCAGGATCTTGGCCGAACTGCCCAGCGCGTTAACGTTCACATTGTTCGAAGGATCCTCCCGTTCCCGGATCTGCTCATCCGTCAATCCACTTTCGCCTTCCTTGAGGTAGTTGAAAGAGCTCAAGTTCCGCGACTCGACGTTCTGCGGGTCCTGCAACGTAATGATGTCCTTGCGAGTGAACTCCTCGTCCGTAACCAGATCACGCCACAGCTTTCCCTTGATGTTCAACCGTTCGACCGTATCCCAAGCGAAAACATTCCCCGTGTTGCGTAGCGCGACAATGTGCGTGTTGTCCGTGAAAACCTTGTATGTAACCGGATCGACATATTCGTCAGATTCGTTCTTCGCGAGATGCAGCTTAATGAGATCGGAGCTTTTGAGCGGCGCGCCGTTCACTGGATTCGTTCCGTGTTTCTTAATCCAAGGGAGAATGTTGGTGAGGTCGAAGATGGTGCCCGACGGGGTGCAAACCGGGTGCGAAAACGGCTGTAGTGAAAGGGAGCAGAAGTTGAAGGGAAGGCGCTTGAAGGCCGTATCTACTCCTCCTCGCTTCGCTCTGCCCACGCCGGCTCCAGCGCTAGCAGAGAATGCATCCTCCGACGCCCATTCAGAGTGTGTGATCTATACAAGTCGTTGGGTCAGTCCATGCGAGGTCCGATAAGCGATAGAGCGCGGAAGGGAAAGAACAAATCTTCAATGGGGAGTGTTCATACATATAACTTATCGGTCCCTAAACAAGTGAGCGAGTAAGTTAGCCCTGCGTTCAGATATTCAGAAGAATCTTGCCGAACCAACCTTTTCCCATCCTGGCGACAAAAGCTTTAGATGCCTGGTGCAGCAGCTCTCACTTTTGCGATCCTGTCGCCGCGCCCCGAGGCCTGGAATATGATGTATTGCCATTTCCAGATCTAGCCTTTTTTGGCTAGACCGTCCGCAGATGACCCTCGTTCTGTAACCGTTATACGGGGATGATAGTAGTCACGGGATCGGTATCTTAAGCCGAGCATTCGTTATTAGACTACTATAAACAATAAGCTGCAAACGAGATACCAAGGTAGACATGGCGTATGGTCATATCGATTGCTAAACTACACTACACACTATCATACATACATAATGCAAGCAGCGCTCACAAAGGCGCCATCGTCACAATAAATCATGCCTTTTCCACCACTAGGCCACGCATTGATTGTGGGATATTTCCTGTCTTTTAGTAACGCCCCAATGTATGGCTCATTTTGTTTACCTTCATGGTCATTGAATCATCATTAAGCATGTCCACCCCGTTCGAGGACTCATACGGGAGGGGGCTGGTAGCGCAATGGTACCACCCACCGGTTCCCAAAGTCGATCCCATGCCGCCGCCGACTACCATATTTTCTCCAGACTATCTGAGGAATGCCAATGTCGGCCACAGAGAGATTCCATGATAGTCCCTCCCCGGAGAGTAGCGCAGTGACAACCCCAGTTTTGGGAGCCCCGAGACAGACCACCGATTTCGAATTGACGCATAGCCGGCCGCCTTCTACTGTAGTCACTTCGCCTATAAAATACGTTAGCACCGACGTCATAACAGGGCACATTATCCGGCATACTCACCACTCATAGCAGACAGCCCCGAAGGCACGTCCACGGACAAAATCTCCAGGTTGCTCCGGTTGGCCCAAGATATCATCTCAAAGGCAGTGGCCTGGTCATCCGTGCGAAGGTCATCAAATGCTATGTGAATTCCGAACAAGGCGTCGACAACCAAGTCAGGCGCGAATTCCGATGTAGAGAGCCGGGTCGATAAGTCTTCCCACCGGTGTACTCGGCCGCCAATCTTCTTGAAGACATCCAGCTGTTTCCGACAACTTTCTAGCAACTCATTGTCGTGCTCGATGCCTAGCATACAGACAGTCACGCGGTGGCCTCGATTACGGAGATGGCGAGCCGCAGAGACGGCACGTGCCCCGGTTCGATGATTGCCTGTGAGCACCAGCATCGTGGGCGCAGCGGCGTCACTGGTAAGGAGTCCAACAGCAGCTTCCGCAATGCCACGTCCCGTGTTTTCCGTAATCATGTCCTCGGTCAGCCCCAGTTCGGCAACTGCAATCTGCTCAACCTCGAGGGTTTGCAATGGACTGACAGTTGGGCAGCTTCGATTGGTTGTGGTGAGCCGCAATGAGCCTCCAGGTACACCAGGGGCGCTTATCGGGGATGCTGAAACGGATGTCTTATTGGGTCGAGGGCTGGTTGTGCGAGATGTGCTCAGCTGACTGCGCCCGAGCGAATTGATCTGCGGTGGCACCAACGGCTGGCCCAAAATGGCGCTTCCTTTGCGAGAGTTCGGTGCGCGGGACGTCCTCGACCGTTCCCGGCCAGAATAGGTGCCGCTGCTTAGTTTTGCATCGCTAGGTACCTGGTCGGTATCCTCGCTCTCAGTCTCCTCAGGGCTGTCAAGGACATTTTCCGTCCAATGCAAATTCTTCCCGCCATTTGTTCCAGGCTTTGGTACTTTCCTGTTGAAGCTAACCAGCCGGTCTTCATCGGCAGTAGTGTCATCGTTACGAATTTCTTCGAACACCTTTCTCTTGTCGAATTTGGAAAGGTTGCTCTGGAAGTCGAACTCGCCCATCTCCTGAATATCCGTCGCATCCTCTGTAGCCCAGCCATTAGGGTCCTCCACATAATTCGATCTGTTGTTCCTCTTCTTCCGGCGTTGTTTATTGAGCGACTTGTTCATCTGCGGATAAGACGGCTCGACGAAAGCAGTCTGACGCCAGCCTTTGCTTCTTGGGTCCGTGTTCGTCGCCCCATCGTGTTCATTGACTGCCTTCGGGGTCCTCGGTTGTCCAGTGCGACGACTAGCTTTCGCGGCGGACTGCGGGATTGGTTGCGATGAAACAATGTTCTCCCTTCCAGCGGGGACAGGGCCACTTGGCACGGCGCTGCGACTCTCATTCGCGGTCTTTCCAACATCAAGTTCCAGGTTACTGAACGGTTCGTTGAGCACAGCAGCTTGGTCACGATGAGCCACTTGCGGAAATTGAAAGTTTTGTGAAGTGGACCGGCTAATGGAAGGGGCTGGAAGCTGTACCGGACCCGAGTCTGCACCCTGGCCAGACGGCGCAGAAGGGGGCTTCGAAAAGCTTAGAATGGCCGGATCCACGAAGCTTTGCGTTGAAGTTGGAGGCGGAGGTGCGGGGACTATATTTTGAGGTCCCTGAGGCGGAGGCGGACGCTGTGAGATGCGCGGAGTCGAAGATCCCAAAGAAAGATCCGCGATGTCGGGCGCTTCAATTGAATACGTAGGGAGCGGGTGTCCGATCCAGGATAGTTTCACTGAATGAGAAAAGTTAATGTTAGATCCTTGCAGAGTGGGGATAATGATGCTAGGCAGTGAGAGGGGGGGCAGAAGGCTTATACTTACCATTTCGGAGCATGAGACGTTGGCCGATGACATTAGCCACTTCTCCCTGCACAGTTGCATTTGGTGGCGCTCGCAGCGTCACAAGCACATCGTAGCCGATGAATTCAGTCGCCATGATCGGCAGTCTGCACGAGTACAACCGCTGTCCAAAGGGCCAAGGATAAAACACGCCACGGACCGGAAGGAGCCCCGACAAGGTCGCCAAAGGTGGATGTGGATTGGGGTCAGCTTGTGCTTGCTTGCTTGCTTGCTTCTTTGCTCTTGGCTTGGGCATCACGTGTGGCTGGGCTCTTATCGATAAGGGAGACACGAGACCCGCTCGGTGGGGTTCATGTTTCCTCACATTTATAGACTAGTCATCCTAGTTTGATCCTGGAATAAACCCTACATATTGCCATTGAATCATCCATCTTTGACTGGACTATATTCACTCCTTTCATCTGAGTTATCCGTGGGTGCTGACTCCATTGTTTCTTATTCATTCCTTAAATGCAAGCTCGATACGCCGATAGTGTAGTATACATTCTTCGTTCTTTCCTGCATCTCCACTTCTACTTATATATATGCGATAGTCTTGGTTCTTAGTATTGGAATTAATACGTGTGAATGTTTGCTATTGACACCCTCGAACAGTCCTATTAGCTCAATAAATTGCTTCTCTGAATGAGATATATGTGGTATATGTTCAGCTTTAATATATACTACTATAGTAGTGGTATCTTCCGCCTCGTTTTGCAGCTTCTCTCATAAGTACCGGGCTCACGGGGTGACTCCCTGCATTTTCGGGTGTTGGACGAGGTGGAAAACAAATCTCAAACTTGATTTGGACTCGAGTACAATACCGAAGTACAAAAGATGAAGTAGATCAGCGTGAAAATACCTAGATCTTACTACTCTATGATCCTGATTATATATGTACATGTTGGCCGAGGCAGGAAGTGATTGAGCGAGGTTACCGTATCTACTAGTATATAAATGATATTAAGTCAATAGACAGTCACACCGGACCACATCATAAAAATACACATGGAATGAAGGATAGATGATGTATTTCCCCCCTGACAATGTGCACATAATATAAGCAAATGGCATAGGAATGGTATACAATCCCATTTCACCCATATAAATGCTCTAAATAATCCTGCTCAAAATCATCCTCGGGATCACCACCACCATTACCACCACCCGACTTCGACTTCTTCGAAGTCTTCATGACATCACTAATGCTAACAAGCTTGGAATAGAAATCCGTAACTTTCGGGTGAACCATGACCTTGCGCGCCTCGAACCGCATAACCTGAAGACCAGCTTTCGAGGTCGCTCGACTCAGCGCAACATAGGCCTGACCCTTCTCAAACACGCGGCCCAAATCAACCTTCACTCGCTGCAGTGTCTGGCCCTGCGCCTTATGGATGGACAAAGCCCAAGCCAGAATAAGCGGCACCTGTTGACGCTGCGCCTGCACCTCTCCATTGGGAAGTTCGATCTTCCACGTCTCCGGTTGACAAAGGAGATGGCGTTCCGTTCCGTCAGGCTGCACGAAGCATACAAGGGGCCATTTGCGGGTGAGCGTGATGCCGCCGGGACCACTGGCGTCCTTGTTGGCGGCCATGGGCTTGAGTTTCTTACGTGCACGAGCCATGATCTCGTCGTCGCTGTTGTTGCCTGATCCTCCTGCTCCCGAGAATTCATTCTCGTTGTCGATGTAGTAGTCGAAGGTGGCTTCGTCCATGAATGCCACGACCCGGCCGATGGAGCCGTTGACGAGCGTGTCTTCCATATTTTTGATGAGCATGACTTGTGCTCCCTTTTTCAGGTGGATCACTGGCGGTGCCATGCAGTTGGCTAGTAGGCGTTCGCGGAATTGGGGGTCTTGGATTGTGCCGCTGTCAACGGCGTTAAAGGTCATTGTTTCGCCGGATAGGCGACTCATTCGGGCGCCGTTGGCGCTCTCGACTTCTTGACGTGTGGGGAACCTGTGGATGGAGTAAGTTGGGTGCTTGGGTTTGAAATGGACTTGGTTATATGGGGGTGCGTGTCAGGCTTACAGTTCAGTGGCCTCGAGGGAGTCATGGAAGTCAAGAGGCCGAGAAAGTTGTTTGAATGTGTCGATCGTTCGTGGTGAGATCTTTCCAAGTCGAAGCTCGTTGAGCATGTCGGCGAATTCGGGGTCTCGTTGACGGAAAATGTGGGTTAGGAGGATGGTGTGTTGTATGGAAGTATTCCATGTCGCTGCTGCGAATGCAAATTTGGCTTCTCGGTTGCTCCCTTCTGGGACGGGAGGAAGTTGGAAAAAGTCACCGGTGACTACTAGCTGTATGCCTCCGAAAGGACGACCGTTGTTCCTAATGCGACGTGCGATTTCCTCTAGCTTATCGAAGAGATCGCCGTCAACCATGGACACCTCATCGACGATCAGAACCTTCGTGCGCATCCAGCGATTCCGGGCTTTCTGGTTCTTCTTGATCTATAGATAGTTAGCACATGTGAATTGGTGTGATCAGTCGACGCCAATGCTGACCTTCTTGACAAGCTCCGGAACAGGCTCCTTCCCCAGTCCAATACCTGCGAAACTGTGGAGAGTTACACCCTCAATATTGCACGCTGCTAGACCAGTAGATGCTGTCACCGCAACCCTGTCTGGCTCTTTCTTGTACTTATCCCTCAGTTTCTTGATGATCTCCCTCATAAGCACCGACTTTCCTGTTCCGGCAGATCCTGTAAAAAAGATACTCTTCCCTTGCTGTACAACCGCATCCAAGACATGGCGTTGCTCATCGCTGAGGAAGATTGAAGCTACTTTCGTGCGAGGGTTGTGCATTTGGCCGCCTGCTTGTGCCTTCATAGTCTTGTTCTGCCGACGTAGTTCCCTTTGCTCATCCTTAATCGCGCTAGCTGACTTGTTCCAAGGAGCCGTCTGTTTCGGCCGCATAGGCGTTTGCGGCTTCAAGGATGGAGGCTCTGGTTCTGGTTCCGGCTCGTCTTTCAGCCATGGTAAAGTTCGAGGCTTCCTGGTCGGTTGTTGGTAGTGGGAGGGGGGCGAAGATGACCATGGAATTTGTATGCTGCTGGATGGCGGGACACTCTCATCTGGAACCGGGGGTAAATCGGGATACTTGACTTCCGCCGCCGCTTTGCTGGGTGAAGTCAAGTCGACTATCGATATTTCTTCGTCTTGCGCAGGTATACCATGGAGGGACGGGTACTTGGGCGGTTCAGGTTTCGGGACGCTCGGTCTGGTTATGGGGGCCGGGGGTATGAATGGATCGGGTTCCTCAAAGTCCAGGTCGTCATCGTCGTCAAAGTCGTTCTCGTCGAAGTAGACACCGTCGTGGAGGGACCCCAGATTAGACTCTCGCACGGTAGCCATCTCAATCTTGCGCTTGACCCCTGCGGACGGCGGCGGGGGTCTCATTGAAGCATTCCCATTGTTGCTGCGCGTAAGCGTGGATTGTAGCGGAGTCGCCGACGCTACTGAATGTTCCTTGACGGCTTTCTTGAACATCACAGCTTCCTCTCCAACCGGCGAAGTTCGCGATGCGGAGAATCTAGTAGAGGCCGTTGGCGATTTTATAATTGGACCATTTGAAAGGAATTGGCGGAGGATACCTGGGGTCGATGCGCGATGTCTGGAAAGGTACATATACTTGAATTCAGGGTAAGTTGGAGATGCAGCACTTGCCTGCCCTGATCAATCTATTGATGAAACTATTCAATTATCCACCGGCGCGTTTTGGCGATACGCGCCGCGCCACTACTTATCGCTCACGTGATTCCGATAAGGGCTGGCTTCTGAATGCCCTTTGCACGTGCAATTGTCTACCGTCTATAGAATACTGCCTCTACTTTAGAAGATGTCAATGTGCTCAGCATGTAATGCGATAATAGCAGGATTGCAGGTCATAATAAGCTAGTAGTATTTTAAATGCAGGAAAATTTCGATATTCGATATATTGGACTGCCATTCCCCCCTCCCTCCTACGTTGGACGCCCTTCCCTTCTTTAGTTATTCAAGAGACTAACTAACTCGACAGCTTCATGATGATCCCCATCAATCCAAGTCCCCTTTCGGAACTACATTGGTAACATCACCCTGTTGTCTTGGCTTCCTCGCCTTAAAGAGCATGACCTGACCCATAACCCACGACTCCACCTCCTCAAAGTTCCGACGAAGTCCCTCATCAAACTGAGCCTTGTTGTCCTCCGAGTTATGAAAAGACTTTGTGTTGTTATTATAGCTGTTCATCATCTTCTGACCCAGCCAGTTGATTGGTACACCCTGACCAAGAACTGTCGTCCCCACAAAAACGCCGTCCTCCGCCAAATGCGGCCGCACCACATCGAACAGCTTGCACTTTTCTTCAGGTGTCCCCGGAATGCAATGCAACAGGAAGAAGACACTAATTGAGTTGAACTTCTTGGTCTTGTCGAAGGGCAATGGCTCCAGGGCCGAGGCCACGACGGTGTTCACGCGGACCGCCTCACGGCCTACCGTTTCCAGGATACGCTGCTCGGCAGCCTGGAGCGAGTTGGGACTGAGGTCCAGGAGGGTGATCTCATTGCATTTGGCACCGGCCTTTAGGCTCTTTGCTGGATAGTAACCTGTGCCGACGCCAATGTCTAGGTGACTCTGGCCCATGGCGGCATTGAATAATGGGAGTTGGACGGTTGAGGTTGGGCATTTCCATGCAAAGTTGTTGGAAACCCAGAGGACCCAGAAATCGTAGAGGTAACGGAGAAGAAAGGGAGTATAGACTGCAATGCCTTCTTCCAATGCTGAAGGAGTCTTTGGTGAAGCTGTCATGGCTGATTTGGGGTGGATGTGAGTGTGAGTGTGTTTGTGTATCCCTTTTCTTTTCTTCCGTTCAGTCTTTGCTCTTGAACTCGAGGGCAACAAGATAACTATGGGACGGAAATGGGCGCCCCTGTCGGTAATGAAAGGAATGTCTGAAGGGCTGCATACCAAAACGCCACCCAAGCCTCCCGTGAGAGGACGTCAAGCCTAGACTAGCACTATCATGCAGTGTTACCCGCTCGCGTAGGTCATGTCTTATCGATCGAATGACAGCACTCCAGCAGCTGTTACTTTCCATTTTGCTCTATCATGTTGTCTTTGATTCGTATACTGTCCGACAGGAATGTTCACTGTCTTGTCTTCCTGTCATTCTCCCTTCCCTTGCCTACATTGTTTCCTATGAGCACTATCTTAGATGGATCTTCGGCCAATGGTAGACCACTCCATGGGAATACCTTGCTGGAAAACGGTCTCATTTGTTCTACTTTGTTATCTTTGTTTAGTATACTGTCTAACTGGAAGTTTTAACTGTCTTATCCTCCTGTCATTCCCCCCTCCCTTGCCTACGTTGTCTCCTATGAGCGCTTTATTTGATGGCTCTTCGACCAATGGCAGACCGCTCTATGGGAATGCCTTGCTGGGAAACGGTCTCATTTAATATATAAAAGCCATCTTATTGTCACTTGCTGAGGTACCGAAGTGATAACCCTTGCAGTAGTTGCAAGTCTCTCCTGTAGTCCGCGATAAGGCCATACCCTATGCCATATAACTCCCTTGCTTGAACTCTATCCGGCAATTATGCAACTTAAGCACTATAGGCAATGATAGACTTCTACTCCTGAGCAATATTGCCTCAGTTGTCTCTAAATATCGGTGATCACGACATCATTGACTGAGCAGCAACAGTTTTCCGGTAGGACAGAGTGGCCAGCCTACGAACCCATAGGAATGACGCGTATTAGAATGCACAGGGAAGTGATACCGCATGCACACACCGCAAGTTCTGCATTGATAGCAGTACATACCGGCTTGTGATATACGGGCCTGGTGAGTGCGCTGCCACCCATTCCTGCCCTAGTATTAGACAGTATACTTTACCGGCCTTATTCTATATATCGTATTTCATTCTTTGTCCTCATTTTCTCGAGATTTACCTGCTGCTGAGATCCTTTCCTTCCTCAAGATCAGCACAAAAGAGGATATAGAAGAATCAGGCAGTGACGACAGCCATGGTACCAGAGAACGAGTTCAACCTCACCGACGACCCATCGAAGCTTGGTCACAATGTCGTTTCCCTCTTTGAACAAATCCAGTCTCGATACTCTCCAAAGCCCGCGATAGTCTGCGGTGACCATACCATCACATACGGTGTTCTTGCATCCGAGTCGGATCGCCTGGCCTGCCTCCTTCTATCGCGAGGCATCAGCCGTGGCCATGTGGTGGCTCTTGCACTAGATCGCACACCGGACCTGATCATTTTCATTCTTGGTGTCTTGAAAGCCGGTGCAGCATATGTACCTATTGATCCTGCTTTACCATCCGAGCGTGTCAACCAGATGCTGGATGATGAGGCGCTACGCCTGGTGATAGTTAGTCATGCTAGTACCAAAGGGATGACGAGCAACTGTCGATGTGATTATGGTCATAAAGCAGCCTGCTGCACGACAAGCGAACTGCGAGATCAGATGAGATACCAAGCGGACAAGAAGCCAGCCGTAGATATCCAAGGAGATGATCTCGCTTATATCCTTTACACATCCGGCTCCACGGGCAAGCCTAAGGGCGTGGAAGTTCATCACGCCGCTATATGCAACTATGCGCTGTCGGTACACCAAAGACCTGGCTGTACTGACCAAGACCGCGTGCTGTTCAGGAGCACCATCTCTTTTGATATGTCCGCGATTGAGATCTACGTGCCGTTGCTGTGCGGTGCCACAGTCGTGCAGGCACAGACATACGAGATCCGAGATCCACGCGCGCTGATACATCTTATTAATCACCATGCGGTCACCTTTGCCGTGACGACACCGACGATCTTACAGATGTTACTGGACAGCGGTTGGTGCGGCACGCCAGGCTTGTCTAAGCTGTTGACCGGTGGCGAGGCACTGTCACCTCGCCTGGCAGAGCGCCTTACCGCTTGTGTTGAAGAAGTATGGAACATATACGGACCGACTGAGACAACAATGAGCGTGGCTACTTGGAAAGTCCAAGTCGGCGAGGACATCTTAATCGGAACGCCCAAGGCAAACATACGGCTATATGTCCTCGACGCCGACATGCGACCTGTGCCAGTTGGCGGCACCGGCGAACTGTATATTAGCGGAGCAGGCGTTGCTCGTGGATATCGGAACAATCCAGAACGCACCAAGGCTGTGTTTCTTCCGGACCCTTTCTGGGAAGGCCATACCATGTACAAGTCTGGAGACTTGGCATGCTTCTTGGACCCCATGAGACTGGTTATCGTCGGTCGTGCAGACACACAAATCAAGATTCGCGGGCAAAGAATTGATCCTGGTGATGTTGAGGCGTCAATCACAGCCCACGCGGCTATTGCCAATGCCGTTGTGATTAATCGAGACGAGCGGCTCGTGGCTTATTGCATACGAAAGCCGGGCGTTGGCAACGGTGAGATTCCTCTTGCCAAGTTACTACGCCCCTGGCTGGAAAGCCGACTCCCTGGATACATGGTCCCCTCGTTCTTCGTCGAAGTCGACAGATTTCCTTGTACTCTCAACGGCAAAGTGGATCTCAGAGCACTACCCGATCCGATCTCGACTGTCACACCGGCACAAAAACCCGCTACCACACTAACAGAACAGTTGCTGGCTATATGGACCGATGTACTGGGCCACAGTCAGGTTGGCATGCAGGACAACTTCTTCCACATCGGCGGTAACTCTGCTAGTATCATTCGGGTCCAAAGGGAGCTGGAGAAGCTTCTGGGTCGGACGGTGCCGGTGTCAAAACTGTATGAGCACTTCACCATTGCCAACCTTGCTGCATATCTTTCTGGTCAATCCAAGACCAATGGAGTTACCAAAGAGACGCAGAACTCCGTCGGGAACGATACCACCGGTGAAGATATCGCTGTCATTTCCATGGCGTGCAGACTGCCCGGCGATATCCACACGCCAGAAGAGTTTTGGAAGGTTCTCATCAGCGGCACCGACGCCGTTACCAAGGTTCCTGAGGAGCGCTGGGATGCCGATGCCATCTACGATCCTGATCCAGAGGCCCCCGGCAAGTCCTACAGCATGGGTGGTGGTTTCGTCAGGAACGCCATGGAGTTTGACGCGCAATTTTTTGGAATCTCCCCTCGCGAGGCCCGGGCTATCGACCCCGCGCAGACCATGATCCTGGAGACCTGCTGGGAGGGCTTCGAGCGGGCGGGCTATGGCACTAAGTCCCTACGCGGCAGCCAGACTGGTGTCTTCATCGGCAGCGGTAACAGTTCTGTGGATGACGGTCTGCTAAGCGCCGCCGGCACAGAAAAGCTTGGAGGACATCTAGGCCTCGGCACGGCGCCAAGTTCGCTCTCTGGTCGCGTGGCATATGCCCTGGGGCTCGAAGGTCCTACTATGACCTTAGATGCTGGGTGCGCTGCCTCGCTGGTCGCCACGCATGTGGCATGCACCGCACTTCGCCTGGGCGAGTGTGACATGGCTGTGGCTGGTGGTGTCACATTCTTGCCCTCCCCTGGTTTGCAT